TCTGCGGCAGGAAGACTGGGCAACCTTCTTCTGTAAATATTTACCGCCTCAGAATCAACTCAATGGCAGTGAGTTTGGTTTGGGGTTTTACAGGTGAGGGTGCTACCTGTGGGTAGCATCTCAACATTGAACATTTCAATGTTTCTAAATATTGACTATTTCTAGAGTGAAGTCTATGAACATTCACATTAGATGGAATAATAAGCTTCTAGCTACCTCACACAGCAATTCAGGTCAGGTTTAGATGCCAAATTTACGGTGAAAAGAGTTTGGTTTTCAGAGCTTTCTGGGTGTCATAAGTGCAGAGGAGGGAGTGAGACAGAGCAGAAGGAAGTACTGCCGTTCACCGGACAATTAATTTCTTCCTATCACAGAGGTGACGGCATAACTTGTGAGTACAATTCAGTCTGAAAAAAAGCCAATCACCAAACCCATTGCTGTTGAGTCAATTCCGACTCAAGGTAGCCCCACAAACGCCAGAGCAGAACCATGCTCCAAAGGGATTACAACAGCTGGGATCTTTCGGCAAGTTGCCAGGTCTTTCTTCCACGGTACCTCCATGGATTCAAACCACCAGCTTTCTAGTTAGTATCTGAGTGTAACCATCTGTGCCACCCAGGGACTCCGATGTTTTATTTGCCCTACACAGTGTTGACTAATAGAATGTTCTGGAAGAAAATTCTTCTAAGTAGCCCCAAATGTGAAAATTGGAAAACTTCACCTAAAAATTAGATCCCCAGCTTTTGAAAAATCCTGGGATTTGGCAACACCGGGCTTGCATTCCCTCAAGGCTGGTTAATGGCAGGGCTTCCACCAGGTTCAGTTACCGACGAAGACAAAGGGAAACCGGAAAAGACTAGAATTTTTCAAATTTGGACGAACAGTAACGAAACAATTACCAGAAAGAAAAAAAATATGGCTGGGAGCCCTGGAGTGAGAGTCGCCGAAGAGGCGTCATGAGCCCCTTCAGGAACCTAATGTTGGGAACCAGGTCAGACGAAGGGCTGCAGCGAGCGACACACGTGGCACTTCCGCGCGGTCGGCAGCCATCTTTGACCTGCGCACCAAGCGTCTCCCATTTTGCCAAGAGACTTGGTTGTTACTTAACGCACATACCATCCCAAAAGGAAGGTTAAATTTCGAGATGGGTTGCAACCCGTCATTTTTCCCGGTTATCACGCCACTTCACTTGAATTTAAAAAATTCTGATCTATTCAGGTGTCACTTCTTCCGCGGGATTGAACCGGATTGAACTGGTTCGCAGCCCTGGCCAAATGGAGCCCATTCAAAGCCACTCCATCAGGGGGCGGCCAGTGCTCCTTGAACCTGCCTTCCATGGCCCTCGTCGACATCTGAGTTCGAGACCCCTGTCGACAATTTCCAAATCACAGTTCCGTCCACAGCTCATCCCGGCTCAGTCCTGGGAAGGAAGGAACGGCGCGTGGCCATGATCGGAAGCCCAAGGTCACAAAGCGCACCGTTTCCACTTGGGTGGAAACGAGGGGGCTGAAAACCTCGGGCTCTTAGTTTGGGAGTCTTGCTACTTCTTAGCATGGAACACAGGCAGATATATGACTAACCACTGTGAGCATCGCTTTCCAAAAGTACAAAACGGGGTGAATCCGAAAGAACCACAGTCCCTTATCCGCAATTCCAAAATCCAAAAATCTCTTATTTTACTCGAAAACTGGCAGCGAAAACGTGCCGCCCGGCTCTTACAATCTTTATCCCGTTCAATGGGA